AATCACAACCAGTAAATATTTCAGACTTAAATAAATGCTAACCACTTATTGAATTATAACTTAAGGGAGCAAATATACAAAGATAAAAATGTTTAAAATAATATTATTTAATATATTAAAACGAAAATTCTAAAACCATAAATATCAATAAAAATATATATATATATTAATCATATAAGTTGATAATAGTTTCATTATATATTTGGCAAAGAAAAACAGGATAAAAAGAAATCCACACATATATATATATATATATATATATATATATATATACGGCAGCAAAAACAAAAATTAACACACATAAATATATATACTCATACATACATATACATACAGAAATACATACAAATAAATATATAAACATAAACATATACGTACATATACATATCTATGATAACAAGTACACATGTACATATATATACATATAAACCTAAATACACACACATATATACACATAGACTTTTATGCACACATACTTAGATATATAAAAACAGTCATGATATACCAAAGTTTCCATACCCACACATACACACAAACAAACTCATACATAATAGGTGCCAACACACACACATATATATATACATACACAAACATACATAAATATATATACACACATACATACATATCTACAAATAAACATATATATATATATCATAAATATATCTACCTGCAATAACAACCACCCATATATACATGCATACATAAAAATACAACAACTTTCAACCAAATACATATATAAACGAACTAACACATAGATACATAAATATACCTTCAAACACCAACACACAGCAATATACATATAGTCTAACATACAAATATATAAACACATTCATACAAACAGAAATATACTTAAATATAAATACACAATAAAATAGGACATACAGATATATATAGACCTGCATCTGTGCGATTTTTTTGTCGACAGAAGTTCATGTTTGTAGATCTTTCTTTTTTTAAAACCTTCTTAACCAGGTATTGAACTCACAACTCATTGGGTCCTGTCACCGGATCTAACCAACGCCTTTATCCACTGTGCCATGCGTCCTTGAGGACTTGGAGAGGGGAACATGCATTTGTTTAAATGCCTTACTATAAACAGAGCATTTGCTTAAATACTTGTATCTATAAATAACAACATAAAAAATATGTCTTTAATAAATAAATTGTCGGACCTTTTCTCCATTTCTTAACATATATATATATATATATATATATATATATATATATATATATATATATATATATATTTTGGTGCATCTTTTGACGTAATAATCGTTTTTGATGTTAAAAAATACGTCAAAAAACGACATTATTACGTCATTATTTTTATTAAAAACCTAATATATATATATATATATATATATATATATATATAAAAAGACATTTAAAAACATATAAGTTATATTGTATAAACATTACTACTTGTATAAAAACATATTTTATAGGCATTCGAAAAAAATAAATCAAATTTTGTAAAATGTTAATTAAATAAACATCTTTTTAAACTGATACAGTCTTTTTTGTCAAATAGTGAAATGAGAGTTATCGTAAATGGCCGCTCGCCTTGATCATTCTTTATTAACACAGGTGTCCCCCAGGTCCTACCCCATGTACGAGTTCCACTTGAGGTCTGGAGTCCTAATTTAGTCTCAATAGGCTCTCAAGTCATGGGGTCTCCCTGAGGGAACATCTGTTCTTCACTATTGGAGAATGTGCTCTGCCCGATCGGTGATGGTGGAAGGTCATTAGTTTGGTCTTTGAGGCACTGAATGTGATCAGCCATTCTTCCACTACTGAGCCGCTACAGTTAAATCAGAGGAAAGATATGCTTTTTCAAATCAAAACGTCAAGAGGTTTGGAGGTGCACCCATATACCGTTCTATCATCTACAAAGATATTCAAAATTGATCGGAGGTAGATCATTTAAGCAGAGGAGGTTTGGACCGAGAAGGGATCTTCGGTGGACGCCAGCGTTGATATTCTGGGATTCGGAGAATTAACTTTAGGGTCCTAACCGTTAGGAAGGACTTTATAACTGAGAACACTCTCCCAGTGACTCAATATCTAGGGAGCTTGTGTTTTTTTGCAGGGGTAGAAACTAATTCGTTCCCTATGGTTTTTTTTTTTCAGACGCTTTTGGACACTCTCGAGTGTGAAAAATGAGGACAGGCCGGCCCCCAGTCCATATTTAGTTGCAGTACTCCATTTTCGGCCTGAGTTGGCTCTTGTTAAACTAGCCGGAGGAGTCGGGTTCTTACTGGTCCGGTGCAGGGAACCGACTAATTTCCCCATCATCTATAGCGATGGATCGTATGTACGAGTTCCGCTTGAGGTCTGGGTTGAGTCCTAATTAAGTTTTTAAGGCGCTCAAAGCATGGGGGTCACCCTGAGGGAAGGTCCGTTTCATCACGATTGGGGAAAGTTCTCGGCCCGATCGGTGATGGTATTATCCACCCACCCTACGAGGGTTGCATGTGGCACAAGGCCGAGTTTATCGTGGGTTTCCCGAGCCCGTAGGCTCATCCAAAAAAATGCCCGTATAACCCGTATAAACGAGATCGGGTCGGTCATTCTCCCCGAACGAGATTCTGCCCTTCGGCGGAACCTCGTCCGGGTTCCTTTCTGCTCAAAATCAGAGAGTTCGACCGTCAAGTCGAGAAGCTCGGCTTGATTCAAAATGATTTTCTAAGCGTTGCTTAGATGTAGCAAAAAAGGCCGAAATATGAGGCACCCATATAGGATCGAACTCAATTTTCAGTAGTAACTGATCTAGCAAGACAAGCGTGCTAACCATTACATCGAGCCGAGGTCCCCCGATCGGTGATGGTGGAAGCTCATGTGTCTGGTCTTTGAGGTATTCACTTTTGACCAGCCACTTGAGCTGCCTCAAATAAATAATCTATAATTAGAAAAGACAGATTAAAAAAAAAAAAAATATGGTCTGACAGCATCAATGGGTGTACTGGAAGGTCATTTACGGACACTCAGCCACAAGCATACATCCGGGGCATATGTTGGGAGCTGGTCAGGTTCTTAGCTGCGAAGTGACACTACGACCACATCAGATCATGATACAGATGATCAAGATGGTAATGATGATAATGGTGATGATGACAATGATGGTGATGATGATGTTGATGGTAGTGATGATGATGATTGCGATGGTGATGATGATGTTGATGGTAGTGATGATGATGATTGCGATGGTGATGATGATGGCAATGATGGTGATGATGATGATGATGATGATGGTGGTAATGATAATGATGAAGATGATTTTGATAATTATGATGGCGATGATGATGATGATGATAATGGTGATGATGATTGCGATGGCGATGATGATGGTGATGATGGTTATGATGATAGTGGTAATCATGATGATGAAAGTGATGATGATGGCGGTTATGATGGTGGTGATGATGATGATGATGATTCTGATGATGGTGATGATGATGTTGATCGTGATGATGATTATGATGTTGATGATGGCGATGATAATGGTGATGATGATTGCGATGGCGATGATGATGGTGATGATGGTTATGATGATCGTGGTAATCATGATGATGAAAGTGATGATGATGGTGGTGATGATGATGATTCTGATGATGATTCTGATGATGATGATGTTGATCGTGATGATTATGATGTTGATGATGGCAATGATGATTATGGTAATCATGATAATGGTGATGATGATGATGATGATGATAATGGTGATGATGATTGCGATGATGATGGTGATGATGGTTATGATGATCGTGGTAATCATGATGATGAAAGTGATGATGATGGCGGCGTTAATGATGATGATGATGATCGTAATGTTGATTATGATGTTGATGATGACAATGATGATGATGATGGCGATGGTCATGATGATGGTGATGACGGTGACGTTGATAGTGATGACGATGATGTTGATGGTGATGATGATTCTGATGATGATGATGGTGATGATGATGACAGTGGTGGTGATGATGATGGTGATGATGAGATTATAAATGTCATATATGTCATTGAATCCATGCGTCAGCGGATTTGTAGCTCAGCGGAGCGTCAAGTAGAAGGATAAAAGTCATTCGAATTTGTATTTATTTATTTATTTATTAAAGTTTTAATTGCTTCTACCTCCATTGTCAACCTTGGCGGCTATCTGTCTTAAAACGCCTGTGAAAATGTTGCTGTATTTAAGAATGTCTTTTTTGTTCAGTGTGTGTGTGTGAGGAACTGGCTTTGTTTTTGGAGGAGGGTGTTTTTTTCTTCTTTTGTTTTATTTTTGTTTTTTGTTTTAAAAAGCAAAAACAATAAAACAAAAGCATCTTTTTTTTTTTCAAAAGAAAAAATAAAAATTAAAAAAAAATAAAATGAAGAAATATTTGACAGAAGTTAAAACAGATGTTTTCCAACACGAATATTAACAACCCCGGCATTTAAGATTGAATTTTTTTTTTTTTTTTTCATCATTCCACCCGATCCTGTTACCCTGAACAGCCACAGACACCCAAGAAACACGCACGTGTATTTAGTTTTTGTTTTTTTGTTTTTTTTTTTTTTTTTCCCCCATCGAACGATTGTTTGAATCAATTTTCCATAAACCTCGGATTTCTTTACTAAAGAATATGTCGGCATTTGGCTCAGACGCAGATGTTCTGTGGAGACATCTGAAACGAAAATACTCGAAAAGCGTTGCTTCTTGGGCGTTCGACATTTTACGGCAAATTCCGAAAAATCCCGATGAATTCCGAACACATTCCACACAGAGAGCGAATAGCTCACACGTCTGCGATATCCTTCTTAAAACAAAGAACAGAAAAAAAAAAAAAGAGAACGAAAAAGAAAGGAACAGAAATTTATAGAAAAATATTGATGAAAAGAAAAAAATTCAGACAATGGATGGAGTACGAATGATTAAAAAAAGAAAGAGGGAAAATTAAGAGAAGTGTGAGATTATTTAGGAGAGAGGGGAGGAGGAAGTAAAAAAAACAATGACGATATTACGGAGGGGAACATAAAAGTGAGAGAAAAAGAGAGATAGATTTAGGAGAGAGGGGAGGAGGAAGTAAAAAAAAAAACAATGACGATATTACGGAGGCGGGAAAAAGTGAGAGAAAATTAGATACATTTTTTTCGAGAGGGGAGGAAAAAAAAACAATGACGATATTACGGAGGGGGACATACAAGTGAGAGAAAAAGAGAGAAACATTTAGGAGAGAGGGTGGAGGAAGTAAAAAAACACACTGACGATATTTCAGAGGGGGACATACAAGGGAGAGAGAAAGAGAGATAGATTTAGGAGAGAGGGGGTAGGAAGTAAAAAAAAACAATGACGATATTACGGAGGGGGACAAAAAAGTGAGAGGAAAAGAGAGAGAGAGATTTATGAGAGAAGGGATTGGAAAAAAAAACACTGACGATATTTCAGAGGGGACATACAAGAGAGAAAAAGAGAGATTTTTAGGAGAGAGGGAGAAGGAAGAAAAAATTCAATGACAATATTACGGAGGGGACATAAAAGTGAGAGAAAATTCAGTCTTGTACATTTAGAGAGAGGGGAGGAAGTTGAAAAACTGACAATATTTCAGATTTCATTGGAGGGAGAAAAAGAGAGATTTAAGAGAGAGCGGACCTTAACTACAGTTTCTTGGAGGGAGCACATCATCTGGCGTGATCAACAGTCTGAACAAGGCCAGCACGTTCAAACGCTCGGTCACGAAGACTTGCGACTCCGTGCTAGCTCCACCATCGGCGGCTAGTTCCGTCTACCCAATTTCACTCACAAAGCTTGGGCCAACCCGTAGTATGATTTTCAGGCGCTTCCCAAATGTGCTGAACACCGAGATCATCTCCCCCAGTTCAATAACATCAAGAAATCACCTTCCATCGAGCAATTCGATCCGGGGTCTCAGTCAGGTGCCCAATTTTTCGATCGGTCATAGTATGTTGGGGGAAAGATTCCATGAATCACCGTTTGATGCATAAAAAATTCGAGAAAGGATTGCTGCGTGTTCAAATAAAATGGCGATATTTATTTAACATAAAATACACAATTCCTTAACTGTAATTACTATCACGAAATAAAAGATTCTCACTATTTACATTATTCGGACAACTGTCCTCATTTTTCTCGCCATATTTATTACAACGTTTCGGCCTTTCAGTATCTGGGTATATTTCTGAGATGAGGTCGATATTTACATTATTTACATTATTCGGACTATAGTTTCCTATCTGTCATTTTTCTGAGATGAGGTTATTACAACGTTTTTGGACTTTCCTCATCTTTGTTGTATCTGTATTATATTTTGAGATGGCTATATTTCTGATGAATATTTACACTATTTACATTATTCGGACTATTGTCCTCATTTTTCTCGCCATATTTATTACAACGTTTCGGCCTTTCAAGATCTGTGTATAGTATCTGTCTATATACACTTTTTACATTATTCGGACAGTCTATTTTGTTGCCATATTTTTATATCAGCACATCTAAGTTTCCAGAATCTGGTATTCCAAATCAGTCACCCATGTAGGTACCGACAAATTCGACGTTGCTTAACTTCAGTGATGGTACAGATTCGGAGACGCAGTTGAACACTAATAATTCTGGAAAGTGAGGATTTGGCAGCTCTCGTCCAAATATGACAACAGTATTTAATTTTGGTGATCGTACGGGAACTGGTGTTTCAACGCGATATGGCCGTAAACCTATTACCCCATTCGCACATCTAAGTTTCCAGAACCAGGTATTCCCAATCAGTCACCCATCTAGGTACTGACCAGCCTCGACGATGCTTAACTTCAGTGACCGTTCGGAAACTAATGTTTCTATGTGATATGGCCATAAGCCCATACACCACCCGACCATCTAAGTTTACAAAACTTGGGATTCGCAGTCAGTCACCCATCTAGGAACTGACCAGCCACGACGTTGCTTAACTTTGCTGATCGTACGAGAATCGGTGTTTTATGTGACCGTTACTTTCTGTTTCATTCTCGTAAATTCTCCTTGCTCTCTTTCACTCCCAGTTGCCCCCCTTGCGTCTTAGTGGCATTATCGCCTTGCTTGGGGTAAATTAATCATTACAATTTTTAACCTGTTTATGTTTAGTGTCAACAAAAATCTTTCCCAAAATTTCTACCTCGAAGTGGCTTTTGGACAAAATTTCATTGTAAAAAAATTAAAGAGTAACCAGTAGAGATTATCGAACTCACTACTCATTTCTTCAATTCTGGTATAGTCATACCTGTTAATTGTTTGATAATGTCCAACCACTTTTTTTTTGCGTTGGTGTCCTCTCCTATATACATTTTCAACGGTGCCTGGCATGATGGCCTTTCACGGGCTGTCGTGCGTTTTAACGTGTCCAAATCACGCCATTTTTCTCCGTTTGACAGTGGCAGGAAGTGGTTCCTGCTGGTTTACAAAACTTTCAACTATTTTCCGCACAGAACTCATTGTTTTTTTGTTACCAATAGAAAATTCCAAGGACTTTTCTCATGCATTTGTTCTCAAACGCTAGAATCTTTCTCTCTGTATCTACCAATAGTGTCCACAATTTGCATCCCTAAAAAAAAGGAAAAGACACTACCAGAGATTTGTACAGCCTCTCCTTTGTTTGAAAGCTGATTTAGTTTCCTCGTCTATATTTTTGACACTGCCCAACAAGTTTGTTTTTGTTTTTTTTTTGCGTTGGCGGCCTTGTTATTTGTTTTTTTTTTTTATATATATATATATATAAACTAGTGAGCGAGTCAAAATGACTTATTTCTCTTTTATAGTCTACCAATAGAAGATTAACCAATCAGGAGCCGCAGAACACTGTATCCGTCGTGTATAAAGGCGGCCATCTTTGTTTTCCTACCGGAATGACCAGAGCCAACTTCTCAGGCGAACATGACAGACGGAAGAACTACACTCTGCTGAGATATCCACTGCGAACCTGCACTACGCTTTCCTACTGTCTCCGAAATATCCACTGCCAACCTCTGGATTCTATACTCGAGGACGACCATCATGAAAATGTCTAACAGGCCTCTCCTACGTCCACTTTTAAAGGTGCCTTGCATGATGGTCTTACACAGGCTGTCGTGCCTTACAACGTGTCCAAATCACGCCATTTTTCTCTGTTTGACAGTAGCGAGAAGATGCCCACAAAAAAGTTTCAATTATTTTCCGCACAAACTCATTGTTTTTTTTTTCTTCCCAATAAAAAAGGCCAATGATTTTTCTCATGCATTTGTTCTCAAACGCTTGCATCCATCTCTCCCATTTTGTGCCAGCAGTTGCTCCAAAGTATTTAAAACTAGACACTTCCTCAGGTGAATTCCCATTCAGGGTAATGTTGAACACCGGCCAAGGAAGTCGCCATATTGCTACGAGAGGCTGACCACGATTCGACTCCGTTGAAGGCGAATCACTAATCCATCGTTCATCTACCTCTATAGACGTTTCTTCCAACCGGACAACGAGTAATCTTATATCGATGGCCTGGCATCAATCAGTGAAACAAGGTACGGGAGGAAAGTCTACAGACCAACACGGGCGCATTGAAATTCCTCTCGCTGTGTTCATTATCATAAATACGGGCGAGGTGCGGTTCCTGGCAGCACACAAAACCTCCAACCCTTTTCCATAGAAACTCTAGTTCCCAATAGAAAATGCTAAGGGCTTTTCTCATGCATCTGTTCTCAAATAATGTTGGATCTGTCTCTCTGTATTCTAATAACAGTGTCCAATTTTTTTTTACCTATAGTAGAAAGGACACTACCAGAAATTTTTAGAGCCTGTAATTTTTTTTTGAAAGCTGATTTTGTTTGCTCGTCAATATTTTGACATTGTCCAACGAGTTTTTAAATTTTGGCGTTCTCTGCTAATTGTTCACGTTCAAATTAATAAACTGCATGATGGTCGATTTTACAGGCTGTCGTTTAAATATTTGTCCAAACCACGCCATTTTTCTCCGTTTGACAGTAGCGAGAAAGGATTCCTGATGTTTTTTTTTTTTTTTTTTTTTTTTAAGCGTTTCATCTCAAGAAAGGTGGGAAGCCACTAGCACGCAAGGGGTTACAGAGAGTTGGAGCGAGTGCAAATAGCAGTGATAGAGGAAAGGATGAAGAGAAGGATAGCGGATAGATCAAGGCATCTTGAGACGTAGATTGACATTACATTTGAATAGTTGGAGATTATAGCTATCAGGGAAACAAGAAGAGGGGAGTGCGCTCCACAGATGAGAGGTGCGAGACATGAAGCTATTCGAGTAGAAGAGACAGCTACATTTAACAGTTTCGACAGTGAAAGGCTGTGAGCGAGATGCCAGCCTAGTTGAACGCTTAAATTCATGAAGTCTGGGAACCAGCGAAAGCAGCTCATCGGAGCAGTTACCGTGGAAGTATTTGTAAAAAAAGACAGAGGAAGGCGATGGCATGTCTGTGAGAGAGCGACTGCAGACGAGATGCCAGATCAGAGCCAATTATATTGCATATCCGTCTCTGGATTTTATCAAGGACCTTGAGACAAACAGAAGGGCCTCCAGACCATATATGGCAGCAATACTCCATGCACGGGCGAATGGTTGATTTGTAGATTTGAAGGAACGACTCCGGCGAGAAAAATTTCCTATCAAACTTTCAACCCATTGTTTTTTTTTTTTTTTATTCCAAGTAGAAGATGCCAACGAGTTTTCTCATGCATTTGTTCCCAAACGCTTGGATCCTTCTCTTTGTATCTGCCAAAAGTGTCCACGATTCATATCCGTATAGGAGAATGGAGACTATCAACGAATTGTACAGTCTTAACTTCGTTTGAAAGTTGACTTTGCTCCTTCATATTTTTTGCCAATGAATGCATCGTTGTTAAATTGCGTTTTCCGTTTGTGCATTTCCGAACTGCAAGTACCATATTTTTTTCCGTTGGCGTCCTCGTCTATGTTCACCTTCAACGGCGCATTGCATGATGGACTTACATAGGCTGTCGTGCCTTGCAACGTGTCCAAACCACGCCATTTTTCTCCGGTTGACAGTAGCTAGAAGATGTTCCTTGTGACCCACAACAAAACTTTCAACTATTTTCCCCACAAACTGATTGGGTTTTTTTTAGTCCAATAGAAGAATTAATCGTTTTCTTTGCCTATTTAAGATCTTGAACGCTTGATCCTTCTCTGTATCTGCCAACAGTTTCTCGAATTTTCAAATTTATCGATATAGAAGAATGGAGAAAATAACAGCGATTTGTACAGTCTTTTATTTCGTTTGAAAGTTAATTTTGCTCCTTCATATTTTTTTGCCAATTTGGCCATCGCTGTTATTGATTTAAGCCGTTTGCGGATTTTGAACGGCAAGTAGCATCTTTAAAGAAGATTGCGAAGTCCTTTAAAACTAGACAATATATATGTGAATTTGAAATCATAATATTGAACACCGGCCATGGAAAGGAAACCATATTGCTGCGAGAGGCTGACCACGATTCGACTCCGTTGAAGGCGAATCACTAATCCATCGTTCATCTACCTCTATAGACGTTTCTTCAAACCGGACAACGAGTAATCTTACATCGATGGCCTGGCATCAATCGGGGAAACAAGATACGTGAGGAAAGTCTACAGACCAACACAAGTGCATTGAAATTCCTCTCGCTGTGTTCATTAGCATAAATACGAGCGGGGAGCGGTTCCTGGCTGCACACAAAACATCCAACCCTTTTTCACAGAAACTCTAGTTCCCAATAGAAAATGCTAAGGGCTTTTCTTATGCATCTGTTCTCAAACGCTTGGATCTGTCTCTCTGTATCTGCTAACAGTGTCCACGATTTTCTTACCTATAGTAGAAAGGACACTACCAGAAATTTGTAGAGCCTGTACTTTTTTTGAAAGCTGATTTTGTTTGCTCGTCAATATTTTTGACATTGTCCAACGAGTTTTTTGGGTTGGTGTTCTCTCCTACGTTCACGTTCAACGGCGCCTTGCATGATAGTCTTACACAGGCTGTCGTGCCTTGCAACGTGTCCAAATCACGCCATTTTTCTCCGTTTGACAGTTGCTAGAAGAGGTTCCTTGTGACCCACAACAAAACTTTCAACTATTTTCCCCACAAACTGATTGGGTTTTTTATTCCCAATAGAAGATGCCAAGGAGTTTTCTCATGCATTTATTCTCAAACGCTTGGATCCTTCTCTCTGCCAACAGTGTCCTCGTTTCACATCGATATAGGAGAATGGAGACTAACAGCGATTTGTACAGTCTTCACTTCGTTTGAAAGTTGATTTGGCTCTTTCATATTTTTGCCAATTTGGCCATCGCTGTTATTGCTGCGTCAAGCCGTTTGCGGATTTCTGAACGGCAAGTAGCATCTTTAAAGAAGATTGCGCCCAAGTATTTAAAACTAGACACTTCCTCATGTGAATTCCCATTCAGGGTAATATTGAACACCGGCCAAGGAAGTCGCCATATTGCTGCGAGCAGTTGACGACGATCCGACTCTGTTGAAGGCGAACCACAAATACCTCTGTAGCCATTTCTTCTAACCGGACAACGAGTAATCTTATATCGATGGCCTGGCATCAATTGGGGAAACAAGGTACGGGACGAAAGTCTACAGACTAACACTGGTGCATTGAAATTCCCCTCGCTGTGTTCATTAGCATAAATACTCGATTTCTTCAACTGCCACAGATGGTGGCGACCAGAGACCGATCGAATCGCGCGCAAATGAGGCAGACAACCGATATAAATTCTGGAATTAAACAGTCGTGGATGGAATTCATTTCCATGATTATAGGTTTCGATTGAAATGCAAGGGGAGGGAAATGCCGACGGACATGAGAAAGATCGGCATGTGCGCATGCGTAAAACTAAACACACAAGGTGACAAAATGATTACTGCCAACGATTATCCTTTTTGCTACAGGTGAAGGGGAGAAGAAAAGAATAGGGTGAATTTCATTCAGATCTTTCGGTTCTGATTGACATTAAGTCGATTTGAATATTCAGCGTCTATCTACTTAGATATGTAGGTAGGTACGAATCTATGCATGTTGCTATCTTGCACGTTCGTAGCAATCTCTCTGTCGACCTATCTATCGATTGATCTGAGTCTGTTCATATATATATATATATATATATATATATATATATTTTATATATATATCAGTATGTTCGTAGCTATCTATCTAATATATATATATACATACCTCAAACAATTCATATCTATCTATCTATCTCTCTGTCTGTGTCTGTCTGTCTGTCTATCTATTCATTTCTATGTATCTATCTATTATCTATTTATCTCTTTCATATCTATCACAGTCTGATCATATGTCTCTTTCTCTATCTCTCTCTTTGTCTGTCTGTTTGTCTGTCTGTCTGTCTGTCTGTCTCTCTCTCTCTCTATCTCTCTATATATATATATATATATATATATATATATCTCAAACAGTACATATCTATCTATCTATCTACAGTTGGTTCATATCTATCTATCTATCTCAGTCTGTTCATAGCTATCTCTCTCTCTCTCTCTCTCTATATATATATATATATATATATATATATATATATATAAATGTCTAAATAAAAAGAAAGAACAGTAAGATATATAATAGGTACAGATATTTTTTATTAATAGGTATAGATATTTTTATTTTTACAACATAGTGCTCAATGTAAATTTATATATGTATATATATATATCACACATTTCATATCTATCTATCAGTTCATTTCTACGTATCTATATATTATCTGTATATATCTATCTATCTCCGTCTATCTCCGTCTGATCATATCTATCTATTTATCTATCTATTTCAATCTGTCCACATCATTCTATCTATCTATCTATCTATCTATCTATCTATCTATCTCTTTACGCATTTAAGTATACTAGACTCCAATATCTATACACTCCAAAGCACTCAAAGATACATGCCCCCCTCCCTATTTTCTAGCTTGTCTTTCCATTTTAAAATTTCTATCATGTTTATTGACATTCTTTATTAAGTCATGACTTTTGATTTCATGTTTGTTCAATTTCGCGCGTTTGGCCTAATAAAATTTTCTTTGTTTTTAATTTAGCCAAGTTTTGTCAATTTACTTGTAAGAGGAATCTCGTAATTACAGTTTTTTTTTATATCGTTATTAAGGAAGAAAGAAAATTACCATGTTGATGCATATACATTTTATTCCGAGTACTTCCGACATTAGCACAAAGTCATCATCAGGGTCTTGTCTTTTTCTAAAATTGTTGCGATCCTTTTTCTAAGGCAAAATTGTTGTGTTCATCTGAAAATTAAATTTTTACTAGTGTAGTGAAAAAAACGTTAAGCATGTCCAGCGACCTAAGGTTAGAAATGGCATCATGACACTTTCCACTGACAAAAAAAAAATTACATAGATAAAGCCCCTCGTAAAGTGTGGACTGTACTATTCAGAACAATTTTTTGTATCTCCTTGTGGCATGGACTTCCAGGAATCCCTTCAATTAGTCTACTGCAATCTTTTCCAACTATAACAGGGATTGTTGATGTTCCCATGTGCCACATTTTCGAGATTTCTATTTCAAGGTCCTTGTATTTTGACGGCGTTTTGAATATCCTCAAAGATACATTGCAGTCTGCAGGGACTGCCATATCAATAAGGAGGCACTTTTTTGTTTATGGTCTTTAATAACAATGTCTGGGCGATGGGTATTATTATTATTATTATTATTATTATTATTATTATTATTATTTCCTTTGATTTCTGGTGTGTACTCATTTCTTTCCGGGTCCCAACCAGAGACCTAAGGTAAGAAATGGCATCATGGCATTTTCCACTGGGCCTTTCTTGAGGAAAAAACAATAAACAATCTTAAGTTCCTGCATATTTTATATAGATAAAGCCCTTCAACAGCAAGAGTGAATATTATTGTCTTCATATGTCACGCAGTACTGATTATTATTATTATTATTATTATTATTATTATTAATTTTCATGTTTATCCCGGACGCCTTGTGGTTATCTCTGAAGATTGAGGGAAATCAGTCTCCTCAAATCCCCAGCACCTTCCTCAGTATCACTGCAGAATCCCACAACGCCGTGGTCTCTGAAGTCTCAAATAGTACTCGATTTTTTTTTTAAATTACGGGCACTTCTTTTATATACCAAGTCATTCCTGGACCTTGACGATCATGGCTCTCCATAACTTCCTATCTTTTATTTCTCAAAGTAACCCTGCATTCTATCCCAGTCGTTCTTACACCCGTCAAGCAGGTTATTTGCTGTCTCACTCACTGTTCCTCGTGTCTTGTGAGAGTTAAATTCTCCAAGCCATCTCTCCTCGACATGTGTCCGAAAGATATCAGCTCTGTCTTACTGATTGTAATTAAAAGCCTGGTGTTAATTTTATAAAACCTCCTCATTGCACACATGTTCTGTCCATGTTATTCCCGTCCTGGGTATGAGGATAAACTGTGTCCGCGTCCTGGGTAAGACGATAAACGACCCACCGAGCACCATGTTACTTTGTGCAAAACATTATCAACTCTCTCACGGGATATTCTAATAACATTAACTTTTTTGATTTATAGTCGATTGCCTCTCCATGTGTTAAACACGATCAATATTTTCCTCGGCGGTGGGAGCTGCTGGATATCCAGACCCTGGGTGAACTTCAAGATTCTCTCTTGCCATCTTCATTCAGCTTCCCATTTTTGCACCGTTGCTAAAGCTGGAACGTTATCCCTTAATGTATCAACCATGGCATCATGAATTTCCTTGGGAGTTAAAATCTCTGTCTGCGGGCACTTGATGATAATACAATGCGAAATTTTGTCTATTTTCATGAGAAGTCGCTACCAGTTACATTTTAAGACTCCTTGGAAAAATCAAACAGCAGTTTACATTTAATGAATGCAAGATTTCACAGCTCAAGCATCACTCTTTCATAGTCAGCCTATTGAAAATTTCAGCCCTCTCTCGTACCTGGAAAAGATCAATGCTGTTATTGATAATATAATTTGCTGACGACCATACATTTTTAAATATCTGTGTTGGGGTGGTATTCTTTACGGAACTAGTGATGGCGACAATGATGATGATATTGGCAGATTTATTTAAGGGGTGGCGTGGGGTGTTATTGCTGTTTGGTACCCGTTTTGTGTGACCTCTTCTTGAGTTCTTTATTAGGGAATCATTTCGGTGATGTCAGTGGAACGCATTTTACGCCATATCAGGCTACGCGCCGTTTTCATGATGGAGTGCGGTTTCTTCAATCTGATATGCCTCACCGCCTCGGGCAACCTGGCTAAACTCCCAACCAACCACCCCGGAAACTCCGCCCAATTTGTGATGAACTATAGTGTGAAGGGGTGGGGGGTGGACGGTGGCAGGCGGTCTACTTTCTTTTCTTTTTTTCTCTTTTTTTTATTTTAGATTTTGTACCCGTTTTAGTTTGATTTCGTACGTCTGTTTCTACAGGTACCTTATCATCGACTTATTTTCCTTCTTTTTTCTTCCATGTGTTCCGTCTATTTCTTTTTTTTTCTTCTTCTTTTCCATGCTTTCTATCAGTGTCTTTCTTTTCTTCTTCTTTCCATGCTTTCCATTTTTTTCTTTCTTTCTTCTATAAACGCATTTCTCTTTTCTTTCTTTCTTTCTTTTTTCTTTCTTTCTTTCTTTCTTTCTTTCTTTCTTTCTTTCTTTCTTTCTCATGCTTTCAGTCTATTTCTTTATTGCTTTTCTTTCTTTCTTTCCTTCCTTTCTTTCTTTTCCATTCTTTCCTTCTTTTCCATTCTTTCTTTCTTTCTTTCTTTCTTTCTTTCTTTCTTTCTTTCATTCTTTCTTTCTTTCTTTCATTCTTTCTTTCTTTCTTCTCCATGCTTTCAATCTGTTTCTTTCTTTGCTTTCTTTTCCATGCTTTCCATCTATTTCTTTATTGCCTTTCTTTCTTTCCTTCCTTTCTTTCTTTCTTTCTTTCTTTCTTTCTTTCTTTCTTTCTTTCTTTTCCATTCTTTCTTTCTTTCTTTCTTTCTTTTCCATGCTTTACATCGATTCCTTTCTTTCTTTCTTTCTTTCTTTCTTTCTTTCTTTCTCTGGTACAATGATACAGATATAAGGAAAACCCAGACACCCCTTGTCCAATTGAAGTAGATTTATCTGTAACCATGGAAACGTGATTTTAGCTTTGTCTTTAAAACCCAGTAATTTTAAAAGTTACTCCAAAATTCGCTTGAGGATGAAATGGAACCAATGTCTTTAATTTAATTACAAAATTATATTCGTGGCTTTTAGCTTCCATTTTTGAAACATGGTTAGAACTAAAGCGGAAAAACCATATTTTAAATCAATTAATTTATAATATATATATATATATATATATATATATATATGTGTGTGTGTGTGTGTGTGTGTGTGTGTGTGTATGTATGTATGCATACACGCATCCTTGACTTATGAGAGAGTTCTGTTTTTACAGGGCATTGTAACGTGATTTTCTGTGTAACTCAGAACGTAACTGCAAATTTCCATGAATAAGGGCTTCTGTCACTCACCTATACTAATGAAATAATACAGTAATAATGAAAGACATAACACATTTCTTTGTTACATGTTAACATAATTAGGACGAAAAAAAAACACATGGTGTACATAGATATAATACATATAATGAAATGATATTGTTTCACGCTGCTTGTATATCTATTGCCAGTGATGCCATTGGTTCTTGGTAGATGATTTGTGGGAGCTTAAGATCTTGTGTCAGTTTGCAGTACTCAGAAACGGCAGCAAATTTACAAATTCACATTTATTTTTCTTTTTATCGGGCTTTCACCAACTAGTTTAAGAAGAAAATGTCCTTATCTCTGACAGGAGAAAATTTAATAGGTATACACATATGTACATACATTATGAAATGGACAAAGTCCGACAATTATTTTAAGACATTTTTATGTTTATACGTTCTTTTTATAGATACAGATATTTAAGTAAATGCTCTGTTTTATAATAAACAGTATTAATCAATATTTACCGGTTTGAATGTCCGAGAAATTTTCATAGAATATATTCGCCCTCCGACAGGAATCGAACCTGTATCCTATACGGAACCATCATTTAGCCTGACGTTTTGGCCACAGAGGAGCATTCGTTTAGCACGGTCGAATTTACTGTGTTTAAACTACAATCTTCCATGAATCTTTCTCGTACATTCATATCTGCTCATGGCGTATCCAAATGTAAACAAATGACGTCACATATTATGAAATGGACAATTCGTCCGACAATTATTTTTAAGACATTTTTTATCTATAAAATAAATAAATAAACATAAAATATAAATTCCTTATATATACATATTCGATTCCTGTCTAGCACGAAACAGCCTGTCGCCTCTGAGTGTTGACTTTATGTTCACTTTTATATTTATATTTACATATACGCTCTATCTATGATATTGAGCACTTTATCCCATAAATAAAAGCACACCTTAAAAAAATTATATTTCTTATATATATATATATATATATATATAGATATATAAATATATATATATATATTTATATATATATATAGAATGAACAAATTTCATTGATTGAAGGAAATAATAAGATATTTATAGATAGATTTCATAGATAAATAAATTTTAAATAGATTCAAATAGATATTATATAGATAGATATATATATATATATTTATTGGATATATATAGAAATCTTTCTAAGATTAAGATAAATAGATAATATGTTATTAGATGATATTTAGATTTCCTTTCATATTATTTATATAAATAATTCAATAGATTTCATAGATAGAAGATAGATAAATAGATTCATTATTGAAATAAGGAAAAATGATTTTATTTCATTGATTAAAGTTTAATGAGATATATATTAGATAGATAGATGAATATATGTAGATAGATGAAGATAATACTCTTAGATATTTACAAAAATTGATTGAATAAATATTAAAGAAAGATAGATAATAGAAAGATGATAGATCGTAACATTAAAGTTTATTAGATTTCCCGCATATTTTTTTTTTTAGATAGATTCATTGATTAAAGGAATGATATAAATAAATTTTTTGAATAAATTTTAAAAGATTAGATAGATAGAATTTCATAGATATATAATTTAATTAATATATAGATATATAAATAGAACGGTTCCTTTAATTTCGTTTAATAGATAGATGATAGATAGATAATTTTAGATAGATAGATAGATTCATTGATTAAATTTATGAGATAGATAGATTATTTACAACATAATCATCTAGATACATTTTATACAGAGAACAGATAGATAGATAAAATAGATAATATAAATAATAATAGATAGATGAACATATAGATAGATAATATAGATAGATTTTTTTAAATGAAATCCAAATATAAAAACCTTTATTATTCTTTTATTTCTTTTTTGCTTGTGATGTGTTACGTGGATATTTATTTAATTTATCCCCATTATAATGGATATATTTGCAAATTTATTAATTGTTTTCATATTGGATTCTACTTTGAAAAGTAAGAACGTTTGTAATTCTAATTTGATCCCTCTTTTAATCTGAATACAAAATCTAAATTCCTTCCTACTACTGTTCCGTCTTTTTTAAACTTATTCTCCATTCTCTGGACTGTTCTCGAATGTACTTTTTAGATGGAAGCCAGGGTATGAATGTCGGTAGCATTACTGAAGGCCTGAATGATCTTTTTTTTCTTTTTCACCATTGCTCAGTTGGGAAGAAGACATAGTGGGGCTGACACAAAACGATTTTAACCTCATTTTTTTTTCTAAATTGAATAACTCATCGGTGATTTTTAGTTCAAGAAATTTGAACGTCTTATCTTTAAACTATGAAAAAAAAAGAAAAAGAAATTAGTTTAGTGTTCTTTTTTTTTTTTTTTTTGTTTTTTTTTCAGATATATTAAATGTTATGGAAAATTTTTTTTTCATATAAGTGGACTCGATCAGAAATAAACTTGGACTGCTGCATTTAAATACCCAGATTAATTAGACAGTCTGTAAGAGAATAGATCAGAGTTTGAGTCTGAGATTGTGACTATTTTTAGAGTGTAATAATGTGTTTTTTACCGCTTTAGTTCGTCAAAAAACAAGCACGTAGACTAATCTAAAAAGTCCTAATTTAGATTGTATTTTATCTATATATTATTGCTAACTAACCGCGTTCCTGGATTTATTTAATGAAAATTAAACTTTTTTTTATTAATTTTAAATACATTTTATTTCTTATTTTTAATTCTTCCGTTTGTCATTCATTGGAGACTGAATTTAAACAAATTTTTTAATTATGGATTACAATAATATATATATATATATATGTATATATATATATATATATATATATATATATATATATATATATATATATATATATTTGGCTTTTTTATAGATGTGAGTTTGTGACCCTATTTAAAAATTTTAAAAGAATCGTCAGACAAACTGATTAATTCAAGAAAAATTTGGGTTTTGTAGATTGCTTGTATTGGTTATTATTGTGGAAGTGGTGGGTGAAATATCGTCGTTTTTTTATTATCGTATAACGCAAATATCGATGTATGTAGACACATATAATAAATCGTCCGTCGGGAATTCATACATATATAAACATATGTGGGTAGGATAGATGTGATATCTCTGATATTGAAAATTTTCTAACTGGGATAGTAATACGCATATAATATATAAATAATTATAATATATATATATATATTTATTTATATTTATATATACTTTTCATATATATATATATATATATATATATATATATATATATATATATATATATATATATATATATATATAATGTTTTATTATTATAAAATCATTTTTCAAAATTAATTGGTAATTGTTCAGAATGATCTCCACATCTCTGTAGCCGAGAAGATGAAAGCAAATTTAGATGTTTAATGACTGTTTCTTAATTTATGCAATGCAGGTTCCAGTCCTATAATTTGGCGAATATTTTTCTGTAATGATTTCTTGAGTATCAAATCATAAATGAAAAAAAAAATAAATATAAATTAAACAAGCGAACGTCTAACAACAAAAAAATAAATGTTCAATCCATTAAAAATGACGTTTGCGTATATAAAAATAGATATATTTTATTATTATCTTTACACGAACATTGTACTTTTTACCCTCTAACATTTAGTTCACAATTTATGTAAAAATTGGTGACGCCAATGATTCTTATTTTCCTCCCCAACATCATATTGAGATTTTGCTGTTTAGCAGCGGCAATCTAAATGACAAATGAATGATTGAAATAATTATTTTAATAAATAAATAATTGCCAGCATTAAAAAATTGGAATAAATTATTTTTATAAGAACTGAACCCCAGGCACAGGTGAACAAGCAACCCCAGAAAAACATTTGAGTGTTACTTTGGCAAGACCTGCAGACCACCCTTGTTGCAGAAGACGGACAAGGATTTTTTCTTTTTTTTTTTTTTTTTCTTTTTTTGAATAAAAATTAAATTTATATAATATATGGGAGAATCGGTCTATATTAACGTATTAGAGAATGATTTTTAAATTTTTTTCATCAACAATTAAAAAAAAAATAAATAAATTTATTATAATACGAAAAGCAGAAAAATAAATTTCTATATTATCTCAATAGACAAAGAAAATGAAACAAACAAATATAAATAAAATGGAAAAATATAGTTATATCTATTCGTGTCGAATAACATTTTTAAAAGGTTTTATTATTTATATTTTTATTCTGCGATTCGATTGTTTTCTTTTGTAATATTTATATATTTAAATTCGTTATGTTATTTAATATAACATATTAACGTGATTTGACGAGATTTATATTTAATGATTCTGTTAATAGGATTTAATAATTTATATATATATATATATATATATATTTATATTATAACGCGATATTCCGTTCAAAAATTTGACGAGATTTAACGTGATTCTGTTAATAGGATTTAACGTGATTTCGTTAACGAGATTTAACGCGATTTAACGCGATTCCGTTAACGTGATTTGACGAGATTTAACGTGATTCTGTTAATGGGATTTAACGTGATTTCGTTAACGAGATTTAACGTGATTT